CCATATTCAAACAAAGGAGATGTTCTATTGGCTGTAAGATTAATCCGAAATGGAATTAAAGTTTTTAATTCATCGTAATTGAGACATGAAAGATAAGTGCGAATGATTCGTGCATCTATGCGAGGTCTTCGCCATAGAATAGGTATAATACATCTGCACCAAAATCGATTTACAAAAAGATACTTGTAAAGAATAAATTTGGTACCATAGTCATCGCTATCAAGAAAGGTTATTATTAAATATTGCACTTCATTGGGAAGAGGGATGGTAGGCATTTTTTTTTTTTTCAAATTATACACTTAAAAAAGTTTGAAGTTATTTATATGTCTGTCAGTTGCTTAATCCCTTTTTAAGAATTCACATAGAAAATATATATAATTTATAATACCATGCCCGCATGATTCTTTGAATATTACACACATTATGCTGTAATGTCGGGTTATTATTATTCAGCTTTTGAATCTAATTGGCCAGATCAGATATACGTCATGTATATATACATTTATAGCAAATTTTCTATGGTCATGATTTCTTAAAGGGACATAGCCTGATCAGGTAAATCAGTCAGGTGGTGAAGCCTCCACAGTAAACTAACATCACCTTTTTAAACAATCGATTTTTAACAGTTTTAAAGTACTTTGAAAATCCAGATTTGGAAACTATTACATATTACCACTACGGATATCGATATATTAATATGATTAAAAAATGACGCACAGTACGGAGAAACTTTAAACATTAAAAGAATACACTTTCCATACATTTCAATGATCAATGCAGTCTTGATTCGATCAGCGGAAAGGCAAAAATAAGATCAAATATCTCCTGATATGTGAATATCTTGAATTATCGGGTTGTTAATATTGATGTATTGCAGCTGTCTTCATGAATCCTGGGGCATCCTAAAAAAAAAAATTGCTGAGGTCTATTCGGCCGAATTCATGAGCTATTTATCTCGGTGTTGCACGCATATAAATGCATAATACATTGGGGTGTGCCGATATCGTATGTAGATCAAAACCAAGATTTTTTGCCGATCATTTATTTCACGTAATAGTAAAAATATATGAATTAGTGTGTCTACGCAGGTGAAACTATGATTTTTGGACTTCTTTTGGCCTGCTCTATAATGCTACAGAGCCATTTCCCCATATTTATTAATATTACCTGTGTTTTTTGTAGCCAATTTCGCCTTAAAATATGTAAAACTAAAAAATTGTTCTGTAACGTTATAGAACATTTCAAGAGGAATCCAAATCTTATATTTTTATCTGCGTAAACGTACTGGTTCAAAAGTAGTAGGAATTCGAAGTTCACATATTTTCTTTTAATTTCGTAAATTTTCAGGCTCTAAAAAAATTGCAATCAACTATGTTTATTGATCATAGTTAGGGTGTCCAGAATTATGCTGCTAATGATGCTAAATTATGCTTGCTAATTGCATTAAATTATGCTTTTTATGCTGATTCCTTAAAAATAGTTTTTTCTAAACTGTGGCTGAAATTGGCTAATGCAGAAATTTGAGGTTTAGATTTGAAAATATAAACCCCGCTAAAACCCACATGCACCTTTTAAATTATCCAGCGCTAAAACAAAAAAGGTAAAAAAAAAAAAAAAATCCTAAAAATTTTTAAATTTCGTATCAAAATAAGTTCAAATTTCATCATTAGCCAATTATTGCTTCAGCCGTAACAATTAATAAAATTTATTTGATATGAAGTATATACTCAGATTATGCTAAATTTATGCTAGCAAATCTAAATTCTGCTAAATTCTGCTGCTACAGTAGCACAATATTGCGTAAAATAGGCTCGGGGTATTTCTCTGAAAAATGATTTTCAGATTAAATTTTCCATTATGTTAAAACTAGACAACGACCTCTGTAGAAAGATATAAAAAAAAATGATGACTGGGATGTTATAAATCCTAGTCCTACCAATGACTAACTATAATTGCACACTCATTTATCATTTATTTTTATTATATAATAAAAAAATTTTATTTGTATATTGTTGTTCCAGCAAAAAAAAAAACTTATTAAGTAAAGAAGGAAAGTCTGTTGGCCTCGTCATTTTTTATTTTTATGTGATTTTTTACAATGGGTTATTAGTGAGATTCAGTGATCAATGGGAAAATATTCAATATTAGTACAGTAAAACAAGGTCAAAATAACCAATTAATGTATTTCTAGTCACTACTGGTCACACGAATAATATATTCTAAATTCTAATTACCCATATTCAGTGAATATTGTTATGAAATCATAACAAAAATTCTTGGCCCACCTAGCATTCGTCAACCAGATTTCTTGAAAACACCAGAGTATCTTCGAGGACTAGAGCTTGATATCTACTATCTGCAATATGTATTTGCTATAGAAATATAAGGTAAACAGCATGAGCAACACATAAAATATTTTCACAAATATGAGAAAGATTTTGAGATGCAATTAGTGCATGATCAGCTCAAGAGAGAACTTTGTGATGAAAATAGGATTATTCTTAGTGGATATAACTATCCCAGCAGTACCGACCGACAGATTTTCACCAATATGCAATCTAGAACCTTCGAATCTTAAAAATTTTATTTTTTTAAGAACTTCTAGTGAAGGTTTCTTAATAACTACTTGATCAAATTTAATGAAATTTTTTTTTTTAATTCTATATTTTTGTAAAATCAAAATAAAAAAATTTATTGATTTGGAAACTATAGATAAAAGTGTGAAAAACCCAAATATCAGAAAAATAAGCTAAAAATTATCTTTTTTAAACCTTTAAATGAAGATTTCTCAACAACCACAAGTACAAATTTGATGAAAGTTTTAATTCTATGAATCTATAGAATTAAAATAAAATTTTTTTTATTGAAATTTAATAGGTGATTATTGAAAAATCTTCGTTTAAGGTTCAAACCAAAATTTGGCCGCAGCATTTTTTAATAGTGTGACCATCGGTTGGGAGGCAATTTCCAGATGGTTCACTTAATTTGGGATTTTATAACACTTGTGCTCGTGATATAATGTCACGAAACTCTTAGCTAAGTTGGGGTTATCACTTAATAGATCAACTTTAGTTATCGGGGGTAATTTATTATGTAACAATAATATGTATATAAGAAATGCAAGATAATAATAATAATAAAGAATAATAAAAGAATATAACTAAACTAATAAAACAATACACATGTGAAAATCTGATTCTTATTATAACTCTATAACTAAGACATCGAAGGTTCTGAGACACATTGTCTAAGGAAACTTTACTAAGGCAAAAGCTCAGGCCTTTTACTTTACTAAGAGCTACTACGTTATCTTTAATCTTAACCTTATCTTCCCAGCAATTAGTCTTCGTGTTGTGGGTTAGAAAGCCACTCAACACTGCCCTTTGCTCACAGCTACTCACAACTCAACTAACACTTATTGGTCTTTCTATCTAAACACACAATGATTGTGAGCTAAGCACACAACGATGGTTCTAAATATTTACCCCAACCACCGGGATTGATCTGTATCTCTAAGCTTTCAGCCATCACCTAGGAGCCACACAATATTCTTGTGGCTCGGTTCATTTAGGCGTTTATTACCGCTAAATCACATCAAAGTCACTGGTTTAATTCTAAAACCGTGACAATAGGTACTGGTACTGATTGACGCTTACCTAACCAATTCACTCTACGAACCTATAGAATTAAAATAAAAATAATTGATTGAATTTAGTTAGGTAAGTGTCGAGTAAGCTTCGATCAAAATTTCAGTACCTTTAAGAAAAATGCTATGGCCAAATTTTGAACTTTAAACAAAGATTTTTCAATAAACACCTATTTAAATTCGATAATTTTTTTTTTATTTTAATTCTGTCATAGAATTAAAATAAAAAAATAAAATTTTATCGAATTTGTACAGGTAGATGTTGAGAAACTTCATTAATAAGTTTCAAAAAGAATACTTTTAAAAATGAAGTTATAATAATTTTTTATTTAAACTCTAAGCGAAGGTTTCTCATCAACCACCTGTACAAATTTGATGAAATTTTTTATTTTAATTCTACAAATATACAGAATTAAAATAAAAAAGATTTAATCAAATTTGTACAGGTGTTGAGAAATATTTATTAAAATTATCTTTTTAAAACCTTTAAATGAAGATTTCTCAACAACCACAAGTACAAAATTGATGAAAATTTTTTTATTTTAATTTTATGAATCTATAGAATTAAAATAAAAAAATTTTTGTCGAATTTAAAATAGGTGATTATTGAAAAATTTTCGGTTAAGGTTCAAACCAAAATTTGACCTCAGCAATTTTTTAACAGGCACTGAAACTTTGAACGAATATTACTCGACACTTACCTAAGCAAATTTAATCAAAATTTTTTATTTTAATTCTATGAATCTATAAAATTAAAATAAAAAAATTGATTGGATTTAGTTAGGTAAGTGTCGAGTAAGCTTCGCTCAAGAAAAATGCTGCGGCCAAATTTTGTTTTGAATTTTTCACGATTTTAGCTTATTTTTCTCTGTTATTTGAGTCTTTTATCGATAGTTTCTCAATGTCCAAATTCAATAAATCTTTTTAATTTTGATTCTACAAAAATATAGAATTAAAATAAAAAAATTTATAATCGATCGTAAACTTATAGATCAAATGGGCTAGGTGAAAAAGGACATTAAGACATAAAAGTAGTGTGTTAATAAAATCTATTGTAGTCCGGTCGCAGATCGATTACCGTATGATTTAAATTCCAGTACCAAGCCAATGATTGACCGTATGACCGAAAAATTGTGTAATTATCACATGTTATATAAATACCTTAGACCAAGAATTTTTTTCGATTCATTTCATATTAATAATCATTGTTGGAAGCACTGTATTATACCCAAACATATCACAAATGTATATTCGCAAAGACGGTCATCAGCTAAGGTCAATATTTTATATTTTTTTCTGAAAAATTAAGAATTAATGCTTTTTTAACTATTTTTGTGTTTGCAGTACTGACATAATGGCAGTTTGCCTCGTTCTAGGTGATCCAGTTACAAATACATTCGTAATTGAAATCAATCCCGAAATAAGAAAGACAAAGCAGATTTCACATATCAGAGAGATAATCTTTAATGATAATGTGAACACCTTTTTCGGTATTGATGCAAAAAACATCAAATTGTGGAAAGTTACTATTTCTACAAGTGAGAGAAATGAAAAACTGGAAGTACTTAACAGATCAAGCATAGAAGTTAATATTGAAAAAGAACTTGAGGGTGTATTTTTACCTCGGGGGATAAGATTTACAAATATTTTGACGAACAACCCACTAGTGGTCATATTCACATAATTGTGCAACCACCCACCGCTAGTAAGTATCTTCCAATACTTTATTTCTCGAACATGGGAATTTGATGATGTTGACTAATTTCTCTTTTCTGATCTTTTTATTGTTTTCGCACAATAATAACTTAACAGGAATATCAAGGCTAGGTAATAAGCTATAGTTTTTTGATTTATATACTAATGTGTATTTTATTCACTTTATTTTCCTATTTTGCATTGATAGGAGGTCTCGGAGGAACAACTTATCAGGGAAAAGAACATGGTGTTGTCTATGAAGGTGTAGATCTTACTCTTGGTACCATATGTAAGAGAGAGTCAACTATTGACAGACTGCTTGAATGTCTGCTTGAGAGATATATTATTCTAGTACGGTCACCACAAATTGCCGGCAAAACTGTGCTTGTACAACTACTTGAACATAGCCTGCTCCAATCAGACAAAGTAAAAAAAGGATTGAAGCATGTTTTCTGCATTTCATTGTTATAGATGGAAGGAAGAAGCAAATCATGGACATTTGCAGAAAGATTTAAAAAGCTTATGAATATGATTTGGGATGAATTTATCAATAAATGTGGTGACATACTAACATTTTTGATTATTGATGAGGTGCAAAAGATTTATAAGCCAGAGAATGTAGACAAACCACGCCATGGTGGAAATGTATTTTGGGATTCGTTTAAATATATACTACAATCCTCAAGTCTTCATATTGTAGCATTTGCTTCATATGGGCATTATGGCGCTTATACTTCTTGTGGAGATCATACAATAATGAATATTTCACTATGTTCTCTTCAAAAATGCAACACATGGGGATTTGAAGATGTTCACTTTACCAGTAAAGAGTTTAATTGTTACTTTAATCACTTTTGTGAGGAAAATCTTCAAATGTTAAAAAAAGAAGACCTTCTGCTTCTTTCTTGCTATATGTCTGAAATAACAGCTTTTCATCCCAGTTTAGTTTTCTTTACCATGAACCAAATTCATATGAGATTCATCAAATATACTTTTGAGCCTTTAACATTTACAAAAGTTTTTACTTACCTTAAATCTCACAATTTTAATGATCATTTCAAGGTAGTGTTCCTATGAACCTGAACTGAACTGAACTTTGGTCAAGTTCAGGTTCAGGTTCAGTTCAATCAGGTTCAGTATTGAACTTTTAAGTCAAGTTCATGTTCAGT